CATGCCAAGTATGGACCATGTATGGGGTAGGCCACCAGGAATAGGAGGAACACCTCCATTGCCATTTTGCCTTTTATGACTAGATTTTGTGCAGATCTGTGCTCACATGAGCTTATGTTCCCTTAACCCACATCTCCCAAAATGCCAGGGCAAAAAGCCAGACATCTGGTTAGAGGGCAGAAAGCCAGCCTCAGCTGAAAATTTAGTCCCACCCAGGTGTTTTAGTATTCATAGAAGGTTTAAAGCCCCTGGTAATCATAAGAAAGACATTTAATTGGGGCTCAGGGTGTGGCTCAAGTGGTAGCGTGCTTGCCTGGCATGCATAGGGCACGGGGTTCGATCCTCAGCACCACATAAAAATAAAATAAAGATATTGTGTCCACCTAAAACTAAAAAATAAACATTTTAAAAAAGAAAGACATTTAATGTGTTATTAACCTCGCTGAAAAGAATATTGACATCTCAAGATACTTAAGAAACAAAGATAGCAACTTCTTTCCCATTTTTCTGGCTTCGAAATAAAGAGGACAAAAAATCTTTAATTCAGCCTCTGCCTCAACACATGCCAGCAAAAATATACTTCCTCTTCATTTGCTCTAACAAAACCTACCAAAATTTAAAAAAAGAAAAAGCAGGACTGAGTGTTTAATTTATGCATTGAGTAATCAAGTTATAAATTGTTACAACAAAACTCCCCAATAAGATGCATTTAAATGTAATATAGTTGGTGTCTGACTCCCATTCCTGTCCAACCTTGTTCCCAAACAAGAGGAATAGATGAATCTCCTGTTGGGAATAAGGCAGTGCAGCACTGACCTAGCAAGTAGCTGTCCCATAACCATGTGGCATGTTCCCAGCTCCATTTACAGTCAGTTGTGAACATTAGTTTCAGTATCAGCACTATAGTAGACACCTACTGAAAAACCAGTTTTTCATTAATCTTATAATGATAAGGCCCTGCATTTTATGCTATTTAGCCATTGAGACCTTCATCATCATGTTATATTTGGTTATACTGTCTTCACAAAAAAAGATCATCAATATAGGTATCCCAGGATCTGCCTTCCCTGAACCCATTCTAGTGTTCCCCAGTTTCCTAAGGTATAAGATAGCTATTCGAGGTACCTCTCACTAGAGTTCAGAGGAGGGAAAGCAGTCACTTGCTTCTGTTTTGAAGGACAGCATAGAACATTCTCATGAATTCTATACTCGTACAGAGAATCGTCACAGAGTGTCTTATTGGATATTCCCTTTGTGTCGCTAATATCTGGGCTTCTCACAGGGCTTCATAATAGCAGCTGGTCACCTCAGCTCTGTCCACCTTCTTCCCTGATTGTGAGCACCCCCTCTACCTATCTTCCTCTTCTACCCCTCATACACTCTCCTGAAGTTCCAGAGTATGTATATTTCCAGGGATCCCTTAGGGTGTGGACTAGCTCAGCACATGTCCATGGTAACCACACTGTTCCAAATTGGATCCTTTGTCCGTGATGTGAAGGAAAATATAATACAACAGAAGAAAACACAGCTGCCAAAAAGAGACAAGGACAAATCTGGAAGGGGTCAGAGGTGAAGTTCAGAGTCAGGTAGCTCCAGACCCCAATTACATGGGTTTAAATTCTGGTTGTATCATTCACTCTCCAAGTGTCCTTGAGGGAGTCTCCTTACCTTCTATTCCTCACTTCTATAATCTGTAAAACAGGACAATAATAGTAAGACACCTCATGGGGTTTTATAGCAATCAATTAAAGTTCTTGGTACATAATTAGATTTCTCTAAAAAGCTCTTATTACTATTATTATAATAATCATTACTGTCCTAGAGTGAAGAATTGGAAGTGGAAAGTGGTGAATAGTTTCCCAAATGCATTAGTTTCCCAGGCTACCACAACAAATTGCCACAACTTGGGTGACTTGAAGCAACAGAAAGGTAATGTCACAATGCAGGAGTCCAGAAGTCCAAAATCCAGGTATTCCTAGGCTAGTTCCTTCCAGAGTCTCTGGAGAAGAAATGATCCTTAGTTTTGGGGGGTTGCCAGCAATCTTTGGTATTCCTTGGTTTGTAAATGCATTGCTCCATTTTATTGCCTCTGTCTTTTCGGTGTCTTTATGTCTTCTCCTTTTCTCTCTCCCATAAAGACAATTTCATTGTATTTAGAGTCCACCCAATGTAGTATGCTTTTATCTAAACCTTACCTTTTATTATATTGGCAAAACTCTCTAAATAAAGTCAGACTCTGATGTTTCAGGTGGACATAAATTTTGGGAGCAAACCTAATCACCCCACTATAGCAACTAAGCAGGGTGAGATCAAATCAGAGGAAGAAACCATGAACAGTTTCTGAAAGAATGTCATCCCACCATGGGCATGATGTTTCAGGGCTGTAATGGCTGTGTGGCATGGGTGGTCAATCAAGCAAAATGAGCCAGCCACTCTCAAGGTCATCACTGAGGAACCAGCTGTCAAACAGAGTTAATCATGTGCTGTCATTTAAACTGTAGCCAACTTCTCTAGAGAAAAGTTAAAGGTACCCAACTCATCCAGCAACACGTTATAAGCTCTTTACTCTGTCTCTCCTAACATTATGTGTCACTATTGAACCCTGAATGCATTCCGACACTGGGAGATGCAATATAAAGTGTATGAGCTTTGGAGCTTCAGAGAAATTGATTGTAATGCCATGCTTTGCAATTTACTATCTTCACTTACCCACCTTCATGGCCTCAGACAAGGCACTTACCCTCCCCAAGTCTCAATTTCTGCATAACGCCATCACCAACTTGTGGAGCTATTCCATGTAAGAAAATAATGTATGCAGAAGCTTCACCTAAGGGCTGGCATAAATCTCAGTGAGTGGTTGATATCTGCCTTAATCCATTTGTGCTACTGTAACAAAACACCTGAGTCATGATGGTGTGAGGGGGAAGCAAAAAAAAAGAGAGAGAGAGAGAAATGTGTCACAGTCGATTGGGTAGAGAGAGGTGATGGGAGGGGAGGGGAAAAGAGAGAGGGATAGGGAGGGCAGCAGAATACAAAAGACACTAGTATTGCTGTATGTCTATATGTGGCTGTATAACCAATGTGATCCTGCAATCTGTACACATGGAAAAATGAGAATTCATACCCCATTGAATCAAATGTATGATATGTCAGGATCATTGCATTGTCTGGAGCAACTAATAAAAAATAAAAATTAAAAAAATAAAACACCTGAGTCAGGGTACTTTATAAAGAACAGAAACTTACTGTTCATAGTTAGGGAAGTTAGGACAGACCAAGGCACCAACAGGTTCCATGTCTGCTGAGGACTGGGGTTCTGCTTCCAAGAGGGTGCCTTGTTGCATTCTGCAGAGAAGATGAACCTTGTGTCGTCACATGGTGCAAGAGACAGAAGAGCCAAAGGGCCTCACTAGTTCCCTCCAGCCCTTTTATAAGGTTGCTAACCTTACTCATGAGGAGTCTGCTGTCCTAACTTAATCACCTCCCAAAGATCCCTAGCTCTTAAAACTATCACACTGGTGATTAAATTTCAGCATAAAAATTTCAGGGGATGAATTCTGACAATATCCCAGTTACTGTAACAATTGAGAGGTGATAGTTCCATCTCTCCTCCTGATTAGGAGAGAAGGCCAAAGAGACCATGAAGAAGAACTGTGACGACTCATCCACATACATATCCCATCATCTCTTCCCCCACTACCACCTCCACTCCAGCACAATGTAAATGGAGTGAATACACAGTGAATATTACAGGAACTAAATGACACAGCAACAGCATTCCAAGTACAAACTGTCTCAAAGAATGAACCTCCAATATCCTTTTGGATTTTGAAGCATCCAGGACAGTGCATAGACAAAGTCTCTCCCTTGGCTTACCAAATGAACACTGCACAGAGCAAAGGCAACACAAAGTAGTGTCAGTGCTGTAGTACAGGTCAACACATAGAAGCTCGGACCATATAAATCCAGCATTTAGAGGCCACACAACCTGTTTCTCATGAGTGCAATTTTATTATTTAGTTTACATGTGTATTACTGAGGTAATACATATTCATTGTAGAAATTTTAGAAAATATAGCCAAGCAAAAAGAATAAAATTCGCTCTTAATCCCAGAGAAATATGAAGACTTTTTTCTTTAACAATATATTGTACAATGAAACCCACTGTTTTATACAGTTAATATGTGCTAATGATTATAATAAAAAATAATATATCATTACAGCTTCCTAATATTCCATTATATAAACCTATCCATATTCATTTATCCCGTCCCTAAATGGATGAAACTTCAAGGAATTTCAACTCGTTTTCAATATTTTGTCAGTGGAAAAAAAATGCAAATATATGAGTTTACTTCTGATTCATCTTACAAACCTTTAATGATTTGCTATTTATTATAACTCTTCCCCTTTTCTCAGTGTTGAACCCCAAAATAAATTTGTTTGATTTATGAGGAACTGATTTTCTTATCTAATCTGAAAATCTGCTCTCAGCTTTGGCTGTATTGTCTTAAGCAAGCTCTTTCCTGGGCCACGCCTGCCTGTATGCAGTAACAAGTAGCCAGCATTCCTGGGTCTGGCTGCTTAGCTCACTTGTTCAGGGCATAGGGCTCATGGGGTCAATGTCACGGGATTTGAGCTCTACATATGCAGGCCAGTTACATGTTCAAAGACTGTTTTCTAACTCCAAACAGCTGTTGTTTAAACTCAGGCTGTTAGTTTCCAAGGAACTGTGCAAAAGAGCATGGGTAGATGAACACAAATACTCACCACTGTCTTCCCCACGAAGAGCAATTCAGGAAAGTATTCATGTCAAATCACACAAAACTGGGGAGACTATAGAAGATGAGAAAGAATAACGTTGGGGAAAGAGTTGCTGACCTGATACATACCTTGGTTTATAAACTTAATCTGTGAGTACCTACTGTTCCTGTGAGATAATTCAGCATCATGTTTTTCAATTGCTGTCGTTGGTGTTGACTGGCGTTTTTCTCTTGCAGCTGACACCGCACTTGGCACTGATGATGTATATGATGAAAAAGGATGCCAATGTGATGTATCAGTCGAAGATCTCACCCCACCGCTTAAAACTGTCATTAGAGCTATCAGGTTAGTGAAAATTTGGAACCAAATGATTCAGAGGCAAATCTCTGATTATTTGAATTACTATGTTGCTAAGTTCTTCTTTAGCAGGTAAATCTCCTAGAATAACTACTTTTCCTTTTCCTGATCATTCACATGCCTATTAAGTTGTGAAATATTTTTTCTAAATACAAAATTCTATAGCGTGCAACACAAAATATGTTCTAAAAGGTGAAAAGCCGGGCCATCCTGGAGAAATTACATAGGATTCAGCATGCTGTCTGTATTTGTTCCTTTAAGGACATTTCGTTTATTGATGCAACTGGATTTTTAAATGATACTTAGGATGTGATGCTCCAATCTACATTCTGTATTTGGTATCAAAGATAAAGTCCTCTGGGTTATTTTAAAAGATATTGAGTTCTGAAAATGAGAAACCCAAATTACAATGCAGTGACTTGGTCCTGAAATGTAATTGTTAATGATTAATCTTAACTTTGCTTCTTCTATTGATGGCAGAAAGCTAAGAATGCATCCAAAGCAACTTAAATTTATATTTATAGTCTCCTCTTCCCCTTCACAAAAAAAAAAAAACACACACACAAAAAAAAAAAAAAAAAAAAATTCAGGATGTGGACTAAATGAACTGCTGCATTCTCAGCCTGTCTCGTCAAATCCCTCTGGGAGAATTTATATCTGTAAGGGAATGCTGAGTGACTGTAATGCAAAAAAATAATAATAATAATAATACCTCTGGTATTTTTTTGGCACTTTCTGCCTCTTACCAAAAAGCAGAAGCAAAATTTAAAATATTCAAAACAGCTTAGCTGTTCAGATGCTTTGTCTAATCTCATGTCAGCATGACTGATTATGTCTGTTTATTTGGTCAGTTAGCATCATGTTGGACATGGCTTTCTCTATGCCATGGCTTTTTACTACAAAAGCAGAAATGAATGAAAAGATTTTGGTGAATGTGGGGACAAAGAAAATCATGGTATGGTAAAAATACATAGTGCACATTTTTTATGTTTAACCTATCTTTAACAGCAACCTCAGAAGAAATTAAGTAAAGCCTAGTTATTTCCCAATGGAACCATTCAAGTATCAAGTCCTACAGGAGATCACACCTTCCTATTTGGCCTGGAAAATCTCAGATTATGCCTCTTCTCTCATAGTAATCGTTAATAATATTCCCTGTTTTTCTCAAAGTATCCCAGTTTAGTCAACCAACTATATTATCATCCTACCCTGGGGAAACTAGAAGTCTTGGATGATATTTAAGCCCAGAAAATCCAGAATATGTAGTGAAATGATGTCTGAAAACCTTAAGTTAAAGAGATGCAGAGGATCTAGAAATGCACTTTCCAATACAGTAACCATTAGTCACCTGAGACTATTTAAATTTGAACTGATTGAACTGGAATACAATTTAAAATTCAGCAGCTCAGTCTCACAATCTACATTTCAAGTGCTCAGTACCACAGATGGCTAGTGGCTACAATATTAGACAAAGAAAATATGGAACATTTCGTTCACTGCAAAAAATTCTGTTGGACATTGGTGGTCTAGAAGTCACCTTGAGATTCCTTACATGCATTGATTATATCCATGAAAGATCCTAAAGTGAAAGGGTGAGGGGACAATTCATTCCTCAAATTAATCTAACTTGCAACAAGAATAGAAAATTTTATCTAGTGGAAGCAGATTAGTTTTCTTAAAAGTCATATTTAACCTGGTCTCTGTCATTTCCCAAGACCTTCTGAAGCTTTCTGCTTTTGCTTCACAACCTATAAAATGGATTGTGAGCTGCAAGAAAGAAAATGAAATAGGTTTATTCTGCTAGCTAAGCGCTTTAGCAACAGTTTAAGATTTACTTTGCTCTACCTTCTTGAAACCTGACTGATTTTGTAATGTCCTTTGTAGAATTCTTGATTTTTAGAATTCTTTCTTCATCCTTATTTTTAACTTAATTGAATTATTTATCTGTCTATCCTTGTTGTGGATTTCTGAAACTTTCTGTGTACTATGTGACACTTGAGGAGGATGTTTTTCTCCGCCATATCCTGATTTTGCTTAGTGGGTCTTTTTTTTTTTATCATTTTCAAGTTTCAGCTAAAATTACTGGATTCTATAAAAATCTAATAACTATACTAAATAGTTTAATAACTTAATTGGAAGTCTTTTATTCATGGTAGTACTTAATTTCTAAAGATATGTAATTAAAAGACCAATCCATATAACTAACAGTTGTGAAAATAAGTTTGCAGGTATAAGTTCCTAAATCATATGCAAAAGTGTTCTTTTTTTTTTAAGAATTTTAATTACATAAATAAGTTCAGCAGCATCAGTTGACTGAAAGATTTTTTTGCCAGAAAATGTCCACCTTTTGCAACTCACAATAATAGTTTACACATGCATTATTAATTCAAGTGTAAACTATATATTATTAATCTCTAAAATAACAACTTGTCTTGGCATTTTCTCTGTTGTTTTTTTTTTTTTTTTTGACTGTTTGAATACTTAATACAAGTGCTTGAATATGCCTTTTGTATCCCAGTAGCTCTTACAATAATAGGTTTTCTTATCTAAAATGTGTAATAGAAAATATGTATTCCACTGCAAGGATGATAGTATAGAAAATGATATTACTACACTTACAAAGTAGGAATTCTCATTTTCAGTTATTAATATTTATTAAGTATCTAACCATTTTCTACTTACTTTTGAGAGTGAAAATTCTCAGGCAATGAGAATATTAAGACCACTCTGGGGCTGGGGTTGTGGCTCAGTGGTAGAGCGCTTGCCTCACACATGTGAGTCACTGGGTTCGATCCTCAGCACCACATAAAAATAAATAAAAAAAATAAAGGTATTGTGTCCATCTACAACTAAAAAATTAAAAATAAAAAAGACCACCCTGAATTTGTCTGGATTCTATTATCCAAATGCACTTTCTGCCTTTTTAATGAATGATGCCACTTTTTATAGTACATATAAAATAATGACTATTCTTAGACTATTGTCAAAATATGTCTTTTACTCAGAAAAAAAAAAACTTAGTTTTGTATTTTTCCTTTAGAATTTTCACAGATTTTTCTCAAAATAATATTTTATGAAAATGTACAAATTTTATGGAATATTTTTTCAAATTCACCTCTGAGATTAGAAAGAAATTTTAGTTTTTTTTTTTTTTTTTGGTGCTGAGATCCAGCCTTGTGCATGCTAGGTACTCTAACACTGAGCCACATTCCCAGTCTGAGATTGTACTTTTTTTTTTTTTAGTACCTGGTATTGAATTCAAGGGTGCTCAACCAATGAGCCACATCCACAGCCCTTTTCAATTTTTACTTTGAGACAGGGTTTCATTAAGTTGCTTGGGGCCTCTCTCTGTTGCTGAGGCTGCTTCCAACTCCTGCCTCAGCCCCCTGAGCTGCTGTAATTACAGGTGTGCGCCACTGTGCCTGGCTTCATGACTCAATTCAAACAATGTTAAGTTTGTTTTCCTCCATTCAGGGAAATTAGTATCTAAACAGAAAGCAAAAATTAGGAAGGAAGTAAACAAATCAATCTAGACATTCTACAAACAAATCTAGAGCATTCATCATACCCCCTTTTCCCTGTCTCATAGTAGGACAACAGTTTTTCTATCACTGTTTAAAAAATATAGCCCGTAAATTGCTTGGGTGTGTTTTTCTCAGAGATTCTGAATTCTCTGAGTGGATACTGACTGTGACTGTTCACACTAAGACTTGACATTGTAGGTCACCACGTAAGTATGAGTCTTGGGCAGATTTTCACATAAAACATTAACATATGCTTTTTTAAAATTTGAGATAGCAAGTGTTTGAAAGTTATATCCAATACAAGTAAATATTTTTAAAAGAGTCCAAGAATGACTTTTTAAAATACAAAAGAAATTAGGTAACTTGTTTTCCTGTACTAAACTGGTTAGGTAGTTTCTTAGATGTGTACACCAAGGCAAAAGGTAAGTATGGTAACTTCATTAACAACTGTTCTATCAGCTTGCTTTATCCTGCCATGTTTTCCACCATCTTCAAGATCACAATATGATGCAACTTATTTTCCTTGTGAAGATAACCAAGAATACCAGTGCAGATACTCATTATTCTCAAGAGAAATGAAAGAGAAGTTATTGATTATATCTGGTTCTTAACTTCTCTTAGTACCTTCATGCTATAATCACCATGCCTCTCATGTTTTTCTACATGCAACCTTTCATTTCCCAAGTCACACCAGCCTTTTAGAGAAGCAAATAAATTTTTTAAAAAAGGTCTAGGGTGAAAACTCAAAGAATTGGGGGAGGGTGTGTACCAGAACCCAGGGGTACTTGACCACTGAGCCACATCCCCAACCCTTTTTATATTTTGAAACAGGGTCTCACTAAGTTGCTTGGAGCCCCACTAAGTTGCTGATGCTGGCTTTGAATTCACCATCCTCCCACCTCAGCCTCCTAAGCAACTGGGATTATAGGTGTGTGCCACCACAACCAGCTCAAAGAAATTTCTTTCTTTTTTCTTTTTTTTTTTTTTTTTTTTTGGGCTTAAAGGAGCATAAGTTTATTTTCTCACAGTTCTGGAGGCTAGAAGTCCAAAATTAAGGTGTCAGCAGGGCTGGTTCCTTCCTGAGGCTATGAGGGATAATCTGTTCAGCCTCTTTCCTAGCTTCTGATAGTTCTTGGCAATCCTTAATGTTTCTTGGCTCATAGCTTATTTCTACCTTCACATGGCTGGTGCTGTCTCCCCCCACCCTCACTCCCTCTCTCTCTACCAACTTGCCTGCACCTGTCTCTGAAAAAGACACCAGTCTTTGGATTTAGGGCCCATCCTAGCCTATTCTGACCTTGTTTTAACTTGATTGTATGTGCAAGCCTCCTAATTGCAAATAAGATCACACTCACAGGCACCAAAGGTTAGTTAGGACTTGGACAGACCTTTTGGAGGAACACGCTTCAGCCCAAGGGGCAAGGAATAAACATTTTTTTAGTTGAAGCTGCAGCTGATTTTACC